TTGTCACACTGCGGCCTTCCTCCAACTTCCCAATGATTCTACCTCGGGTAAAAGCATCCAGATGTCGTCTAACAGATTGATTATTCGCCATTTCTCGCTGAGGCAGCAACTCGGTGTGATTTTAACTGCTATACGGCCTGCAATCTCTTTGCCAGAAATACTGATCTTACACGGACAACATGCTTTATACTACTCAGACACTCCCCCATTACGTCTACCTGCATATCTGCGTATGTGCTACGGTACATCCCCTTACTTAATATCCTGATTGGTCTTTCTGTCCGCTCTGCCTCTTCGTTCAGTTGATATGCTAATTTTTCGACTTCGTCCTTAATTTTTGTACACCAGTTGTACATATTTTTAGCTTCTAAATTTGAGGATAATGGGAATTACGATTATCATTTATATGCTTTTTATTATTTTTTTATTGTCAGTTGTGTATGTTGTTTTTTAGGTTATTTCATTTCAAATATGAATGTTGGAAGGCTTTTTTGTTATAAGATTTAGATATGTTTCTTGTATGAAATATTTTTTTATCACGTTTATTAGCTAATTTATATAGTATTTCATTTACATATGCTGGAGATATAGAAGTTGATAGTTATATATTTTGCTCTGAAACGCGAATAAATTAATACTTGAGCCTAGATAAAATATTAATTATTATCTTAAGAACCCCTTCCCAGTTTTCATGACAGTAGCAATTTTCAATCAGCGTTTAAATTTTTGTAAAATGTTCGTTTGTTTTTCGGTTCTTTCAATTATGCACAAAGTTGATTAAAATATCTGTAAAAAGCTTAAAAAGTGTGTATGTATATAAAGCCTCCTTTCTTTCAGCTATGTTAATTAACTAAGCAACATGATAAAGTTTATATTTCCGACGAAAATTTAAAAATCCAGATGACTTTTTGACGATAACATCGGACGGAAAGCTCCGCCAGGTTTATTAAGTGTCATTGCCTTTTCCATCTCGAAGGTCACGGCATATCCCGGACTTCCCCAGTAGCTGTCACGATGCGTGCAACTAGTTCCTTAGCACTTCTAACGGGGGTTTCGTACACAATGTCTTGATGTACCCCCAGAGGAAGTAGTCAATGCAAGTGAGGTCTGGCGATCTTGCTGGCTAATGCACCGGACCACCCCTACCGATCCCATGTTAATGATACGTTTCAAATAAAATTTCGAAGAACTTCTTTGATGACGGTCGTCTGTTTTTGTTCTTTTTTTCTTGGTTTGCTGCACTAAGCATAATAAACATATATTATCAGCTTGTTTGTGTCCTTCATTTCTTGCGTTTTGTGTCGTCACTACCGCGCCAGTAAAGCGTTTCCGACAATGCACTGATCGTCTACCATTGTTCGAACATCTATGAATGCCTGTATCAGTAAATGTCTATGTTTTCTAGGCAGATATTTCCTCAGAAAAGATTTAAAGATTATCGTTATCATTTAATTCAATGAACATTTTGAACATTTGAATACATAAAAGAGAGATGACATTTGAATACACAAAAAGAGATATTTTGAACATATGAACTACATAAAAGAGAGAGATGACATTTTACAGTAAATGCTGCAGAAAGTCTTACTTGAAATGGCTTAAGTTCTATTAAAAAAAAAAAAAATCTTGGCTCACCAGCGGCCGAGCGGTAAAGACGCTGAACACTAGTTCGGTCTGAGGTTGGAATTCCACGAACTGCATGGGCGTTTTCGTGGTTTTCCCCATGTGTAACGTGTATACGAGCCAGTTTCCCTTAGGAAGTACTCCACGAAGGCATCCCTTACTTTAGGCAGATAGCCCTCGTGTGCTTTGCCATAATTAAATAATCCAATCCAATCCAATCTATAAAATATCGAAGACGGGCTTATTGTTTTCAGTAAGGAGATTTCATGTCGTGGCAAAATAGCAAGCACTACCATTTCAGGGAAGCATTTGCTGCATGTTTCGCAAGCAAGCAAACCATTAAAATAAATGCATAGTTTGTAGAGACATTAGGATTTTTTGAAAGCAAGAGATATGAAAAATTAGCAATGCCCTCGCCAGGACTCGAGCCACCGATCTCTTGAATACGCGCCGAGTGTGCTGACCACTACACCACGAAGGCATGATAAGAAGGCGGGAAAAATACCTTATATACTTCCCCTTTTTAAAGGGCGATTAGAGATTAGGGGACCCAATCGCCAAATGCTGGTGGTGAAGAATCATCATTCACCACCTTTTTAGATCGGGCGCCACTGTAGAGACATCAGGATTTTTTGAAAGCAGGAGACATGAAAAATGATGAATGCCCTCGCCGGGACTCGAACCACGGATCTCTCGAATACGCGCCGAGTGTGCTGACCACTACACCACGAAGGCGTGCTAAAAAGGCGAGAGAAGTACTTTATAAGTTACGTTTTTGATAATTAATTAAGTTCACAGGTATCTTTCCGTCATGTTAATTTACAATGAAATAATACCAGTGAAATTTAATTTTTTTACTATGTTGAATAGTTCATTTTAGAGGTAAGATTTTGTATTCTGTGTCCTGCTGGCATGGTAGTAGGGAAGCCTGTTGCCATAGCCTCGGGTTCGAATTCGGAGACAGCTTGGATATTTGTAAGCGTTTTGTTTATGCGTAATGGAGTCTACAAACTGTCCAGTAAAAAAGCCTCTCGAGAAGTTGATGGTAGTGGAAGTGGAGTGAGAGGTTGTTGGATTCATCCACTGGATGTTCTCTATCAAAACTGGGATGGAACTTTCTCTTTCTTGCTGATGTAATTAAATTGCTCCTTGTGGTGTACCTTGGGCAACGTTTTCTGAGATGAGATGGATAAGAGACCGATGGGCTTGGCCATTTCGGAGAAGTGAATTTAATTGTAAATGTCCAGCTATTTGTATAAACAACATGTTTCTTTATCCTTTAGCTTCTAAAAGATAATTTCTTTTAAGCTAACGGGCACGCCTTAACTGCTTAAAATTATTTCAGGCATTAAATTGAAATCGGCATGCCAAGCTTAGATTGCAGTATATCTTTTTTATCTTTCGTGTTTTAAAATGTTTTTAACTTTTTTTCGTGTTTTAAAATGTTTTTAACTTTTGAAATTTTAATAGCAAAATACTTTATTAAAGAGTAATCTGAAGTTTTCTGATTGCAATTATTTCACCTTGCAAATAGCATGATGCGGGAAATATGCGCCGAAAAGTATTACAATACCTTAACAAAATTATATAAAATTTAAATACTTGGACATAGTAAGCAAAAGCCCCGTTCTACTGCCACGCAATTGCTTATCTTCGAGACAGTCTTCTTTCAGGTCCTAAATTCCAATTAGATTACTGTGTTCAAGTAACTACAGCACAGCAGTTGTTTCAGCAAATTTCCTGTCTGGGTTCAAGCTATATTTTATCTACACTCCTGTGCAAAATTAAGAGAATTTGCACATTATGTTGAATTTCTGAAAATCTAATGGTATGAATCTATACTTATAAGAGAGACAGAGATGTGCCTTTCAAAGGTCAGTACGCATGACTATCAGTAAAACTCAGTATGCAGAGATGCTCAAAATCCACTTTGTGATAACTAACCAAAAATATGTCTAATAAGGAGTATGATCCTCTCTCACTGTCACACAGGTCGCGCAGCATGACATGGATAATGGACAGGAAGCAGCTGAAGAGTCCCAGTGACAATCGATCCCACTCTTGGAGCATGTCAATTTTCAGCTCCGGGATGGTTCTTATAAGGGAATAGCGAGATGAAATTTCCCTCCGAAGAGTATCCCAGATATGTTCTTTGGCTGGTTAACCATGCGGCGAATATCTTAATTTGTCCAGGTAACCGTCGGTTGACCAGCTGATCCCTGTGTGGATGAGCGTTGACGTTCATTACAGGAATTCAGGACTAACTGTTCCTCTGGATTGTAAGATTTCCTTTCTAACCTCATAGAAATCAGGAAGTTTTCATCAAACACTAGAAGGCTGTGCGGTCGTCCAACATAAAACCTGCTCCAACTGCTACATCTCCACCACAGTAATGATCCTTTTCCCTGATGAGGGAGGGAGAGTATCGCGTTCCAAGCTCTCCAGATATAGTTACGCTAAGAATCAGTGTCTCGACTGGACTCGGCTCAACTATAAAACTCACGCTGCTTCACTGATGTCTGGTCCAAGGCGCATGTTGTCGGCATAATGCTAAACGCACTGTGTTGTGTACTGCAGTCAGTGGAACGCAACAGCAGGTCTTTTGGCATGCAGCCTATCTCATGAAGCTTTCAAGCAACTGTAGATCTCGAAAATCTGGTTCAAGTGGAAGCATACAGCTCACGTGAGTTCTGTGAAGCTGTATCGCTCCGAAAGTATATAAGGTATTTATTCCCTCTTTCCAGCATGCCTTCGTGGTAGCACATTCGGCGCCTGTTCGAGAAGGCCAGATTCGATATCACTCTAGCTTCCCGTCTGATTCTCTTCCGTACGTTCGTGGCTACTCATTTTATTTGATATCTTATAAAATTTACCCAACTCTTGCGCGAAACATGACGAATATGTTGAAGAAATAACAGCACACAAATCGCCGAAAAGCCCTCGTGCGCTTATAGCTGTTCCACAATTACAGCTCTGCGGACACGCACGTGTACGCTCACATATTTACGGCTGAATATTTGCATAATTTTTCTTCGACATAATTAGTACCTTTAGTTCAATACTTTTCGTAAAAGTAAAGATACTTCGCAAATTCTCCTAATCTTGCATACGAGAGTATATAAACATTATATATTTAATCCTGGGCAATTATACTGAAATGTTATATACTTCTTATATGTTATATTCGGCTTACGGAAATTAATTGTCAGCAAACGTTTTATATTACATGTCTGTCCCATATACAAGCTCTGTAACGCTAAATATGTATCAGTGATTTTTTTCTAAAACGTTTCGATCTCTGGTGATAATTTGCAGAAATTTTACTTAACTTTACTATTATGTGAATCTGAGTATAGTAGAGGGGAAGAATGAATTACCTGCATAAAGTCCGTACTTCATCTTCTCTGAAGAGGTCGTAACACTTGTCACATATTCTGCTCACATAAGAAAATTTGTCTTGATCGTAAACTCCCATGCAGTGCAGATCGTTGAAGTCCTGTATATCCTGGCCTGAAGTAGAAGCAAGCACGAACACTGTGAAGAATAACAGCAGAGGAACAAAAAATGACGTCTTCATTTTATCTAAAATGTATGGCCTAATTTCAGAAATTCATTCGACAATCAGTTTCATTCTATGTATTGCACTAGATCAAAATAACATATTCCAATACATTAACATTAATTATATTAGGAATTGGTGTAAATGTTTTTAACTCTCTAGACAAAGCTAAAATAAACAAAGTAATGAAGAAACAATATTTTCTACGGAGAAAAAGAACCATCTGAAAATTATGCTTCTATTTTTGACAAAATAGTTCATAAAAATATCTTAAATGCTCTTGCGTCATCAAATTTAAAATTAACCAATCACTCTTAATTCTCACAAAAGAAAGTTAAACACAGTTTTCATTTAGAGATCTAGTGAAATCTGAACACTGCTTCATGTTATTGGTTCTTTCTGTATCCTACGTCCTTCGCTAGCTACGTCGTAAAATGCTTACTGCTAAGAAAAGTAATTAAAATAATTTCACTTAATAAAAAGTGATTTTGGAAAGGATTAAAAAAAAGTACTTATTTATTTTTGGGAGCATTTATTGGACACAATACAAGATTTGCGTTGTTAGTAAGAAAATTAACCTTTTCATTTTCTTAATGCACGAAAGTTCAATTTGTTTCGTAGTGAAACTGAAAGAAATACATCATTATTTTCTATTCTGATGAGAGAAGTCTCTCGTATCTTTTATCTCCATAAGTTCTGTTTTTCAGAAGTAGTTGGGTAAAAAGCATAACTGATAATTGCTTCCTCCGCTATTTGGTTCTTCAGAATATTCAGGACTTGTTTCAGTGGTTAACAGTGTCGGATGCTGTATCAGTAGGCCCAGGTTCGAACTCCAGAGAAAACATTAATTTTGTAAATGTAAAATAAATTAGAAGCATGAATACAGTCAAAATATTTAGCAGAAAGTCTCCTTGAAGGGTTGATGGTAGTAGAGGGGATGAGAGTTTTCTATCGAGATAGAAGAGCTGGGTAAACTCTTAAACCGCTATCAGACCTTTTAGATACCCTCAATTATGTGTAAAAAGAAACATCAGAAAATCTAACTGGTTGGTTTAAGGGAAGAACTCCCAGATGTATATTCTGTGCTTCGTCCTGCGAGAGACAGAGCATGTGAAGCGAAACGTTGTCGCCAGCGTCGTAAAATGTCCCAGGCACGTATCCACAGCACATCGTCGAGCACAGCACATTTGGGGTAAACCTCTTCAATTCAAAACAGTGTTGGTAGTTACCCGTTCCTTGGGAAAGTTTCTTATATCGTTGTGCGTAGTTGAAACCCGATTACCGTCACCTACAAGGTGCTCAATGACACTTATACTAACGGATCCCATAATCAGCCATGACAATGCAAGATGTAATGCGAAGACTCTCTCGGATTTTCTGACACGGGGATGTTATGAGGTACTGTAATACCCGGCCAACAAGCTGTCTCTTTCTCCTGAGTTCTGACTCAGATCATCCTCAGGTGATGAATCCCATCATTCTCCATGATAATGCACAGTGTCATAATGCTAGACCTGTCTCAGATCTCCTGTGACGGTTGCGATGGAAGCTACTGCAACACCCAACGTACTCATCCTATGTAAATCCGTGGGACTATAGTCTCTTCGTCAAAATAAAAAAAAAACAGTACGAGGGATCCATTGCACAATAAAGACTAGATTATTCGTGCTACATTGTGATTGCTGTGGAATATCAACGGATGTGGATGTGCTGATGGTGTACGACGCCCCCCCCAGTAACTTGGCAGAAAGTGGCAGATATGGCAGGGGATTAAATTGAGAGATTGTAAGTGTTTGCATGTATAGGGAAAAGTTTTGTCAGAGCTAGAGAGGCAAGCCACCTTATGCAACCTCTGAAGAAACAACTCACTGCTGAATGCAAAACTGTGTGCGGTTGAATTAACACTTTCGCAGTGCTGGCATCTCATATGTTAGTGTGCCGCAGAGAATACTAACAAAAATAACATGTCGCTATATAATAGCAAAAAATATTTAGAAACATTAATTTAAGGTACCAGTACCTTCCATCTCCAAATACATGTTTAATTGATGTTCGAAAGTTCCCACAAAAGTACAAATACTACAAATACTACTTTAACCATTTCTACAAAGTTGTATCATATGACTTATAAAGCTGCCTACACAGACCATGTCGCATATTCTGGAATTTCGTCTCGGATACGTTGGGGGTGCTCAAGATGGGAACCCCTACGATGAGAAATTTTTCATGGTCAGAAGAAAGAGAGGAAAGCTGCTACGGATTAATGTTTTTGCTATTGGAAAACAATGGCCATTCTGTTATCACAAGAAAAAAGTATTTGTTTTCGTGGTTCTATATAATCATCAAATTCCAATACAACAAATCCTTTCAATTACAGAATCTAAATGAAATATCACTTTTTGGTAGGTCACTGATGGATCTCAAATATTTAGGATAGCGTATAAAGCTATAATCATAGCCGTTTTTAGAGCATTATGGGCCTTCGGGAAACCAGTGTGCTGGAAGAATTATAAAGGCGGCACTATGCTCGTGAGGCCTGTCGGCAAGTGTCCAGAAGGCCCATACGTTAAGACAGCCCTGGCTATAAAAGTTATTTAATGACCGTGGTTTAGTAGAAATTTAACTTCCTAGTATGATGTTCGAGCTGCTCTAACAGCAAGACAGTGATAGAAAACTCAGCAACTAATAAAGATGAACTGTTCAACTTGTAGGGATTTATATTTATTTTAAATAACCAATTTTATTTAATTTTATGCTTTCCTATAAGCCTTCATTCCCCTAATTGTCAATGCCAGAATATTTAAATTTATTAAAATATAAAAATTCTAAAGAGTTTAATAAGAGGTACTGTTAACCATTCTCCTGTGTAGTTCCTACAAGAACTTACTATACATACAGTTGTCACTTAGAAGTTAGACAAGTGGACCCTACAAACTGTTTAAAGTTAAAATTTTCATAAAATCCCAAATCAACAAAAAAATATTTGTTTCTACTGCCAATACGCTAAAGGAAAGTAAGTTGTAAAATTAAGATGCTTAATATGGATTTATGCCGCATTTTCTCATAATTAATGCTGTCTAATGCTACCAATAATAAATTGCTTCTGAAAGCAAATATATCGTGTGGTGCGTGTGCTGGTGAAATAACAAACACTTGAGACCTAAGTGTGAACCTTCATTGATTTCCCAAGTGACGTACTAGGAGCTATCAAATTGCGCGTGCACAGAAGCGGAAAAGTAATTTAAGTAGAAATGGAGCTCTAAGAGTCAAAGATTTGTAATGCATGCATGATGTTTGAATAAGACTGGTGACAAGGTTTGTTTCTTTAGATATTGATCTGAGTCATATATAGTTGTGATAAAAATTATTGGAAATGATTCATTTAATAGACACGTGCAAGAAATCGCTTGCAGCGGTCTTTTGGAAGTTGTTACGAATTCGTGGAATATATCAACAATTCGTATTTCATTTCTTTTTACCTCTCGCAAATGAGATCAATTTTAATGAACACAGAATCTTGCTTTGGCAATTTCTCTAAATGGCAAGCGTAACTGAACAATGAGAATGCATTAAATTTTGTCTTCGAGATAAAATTTTTGCCACCAAAACGTTTGAAATATTGCAAAAATCCTTTGAAAACAAAACATTATCAAAAATTAAATTTTTTTTTATAAGATCTTTAAGGAAGTTAGGCATCGAAGATGAATCATTCTCTGATAGACCATGCACTTCAACAATAAGAAATTGGTCGATCAAGTCAGTAATTTGGTGCTTGATCGTCGATTCTCGATTAAGTCCTCTATAATTTGCACCTAGTCAACCGTTGGGCTTACTTCCGTCAGTATTGGTAGTCCCGTTTTTACAAAATGTTTTATAGGGACTTACGTCACACTTTGAAATTATTAGAAGTTGTGCAGTTCCTTTAATATCTTAATTAATCAGTTATTTGTCAGTTAGTTCCTTTAATGTTTTAATTAATCAGTTGATTTAGCTCTTTACTGTCAATTCTTCCTTCTATTTCCACGCCAGAATACAAATTAACCCTCGGTATTTACGATGAGGTTTTTAAATGGTAAGTCAGAGCGTGTTCTACCTCTAGAGGCCATGTTGCTAGGATGCTAATAAGTTATGCTTTGCATTGCAGTCGCCGATATTGAATCTCCACTCTAGTTAAGTTCAAGGCAAGCTCGCTTTAAGTCACTTGCGTAGCCTTCAGCTACTAGCTTGATTGAATTTAAATTGTCAGATCCGTCGTTACGGCCTCTTGAACGGCCTGGGCCGAGTCGGGATGCCGCCCTCTCATGACCCTTTTCAGTCGGGGAAAGAGGAAGAAGTTTGAAGGAGTAACATTTGGGCTATGGGGTGACTGGGAAGCTGGGTGATGCCATGTTTGGTCAAGAAGTCCATAGCAGCAAAGGCGGTATGGCTGGATGCCATGATGGAGCCTCCATGGTCCAGCGATTAATAGACAGACGAGGGCGACTCGTTTTCTGAGTCTGATGTGGTCAGAGTTCAAAAGATTTCGCACTTTCACTAAGGTTTCGTCACATTTTGCCGTTGAAGAGCGTCTTGACCATTGTTCATCTTCAGCTTGCTCTCTTCCCCCCCTGAAACAACTCAAAACACTCAAAAACGCTTGATGGACCCGTGGCATCACTCCCATAAGCAGTCTTGATCATGTCATGGATCTCACTTGCAGTTTTACACAGTTTGATGCAAAACTTCACCGCCTAACGCTGCTCTAACAAACAATTCACTGTAAAAAGGACAAGGCACCTTGAAAGGGGTTCACCTGTAACACGATCTACACTCCGTGAAGGGTTGGAGATGACTGGCGATTGGTTCACTGGTAGCTAAGATCCCCCGCTACCTTACCAGGGCAGTAATACCCCCTCCTTCACCACGTTTTGGCGGGAAAAAAATCAGTCCTACTACTTCTAGAACAAACCCTGTATTTGACTGTTACTTTTAGTTACCTCACACAAGTGCTGGCTGATTTGTAAGCAATAGGAGTGCCTTAGTT